AAAGGGATGTGAAACTAGTGCACAACAGGATGCATAACGCTGCATTAGGGGGGTTGTGTCATAGTTTTGCAGAAGAAAAGACAGCAAATGCATGATTTCCTGTAATGGCTGAGGTGGCAATTTGTGAGAGTTAAGATCTGATTGTGCACAAAGCCCTGATACCGAACAGACTAATTAGTACTGTGGTTTAAATATTTACATCATATTAAGAGATCACTGAGCCTAGAGGTGTTAACTGATATTCTAAATGTCCTATTTACTGTATTTACATAACATAACATTAGATAATTGGTCATTAGTCAAACATCAAACAAATAAATTAATTCTGAATATGATATAGCCAACAGTTTACAGCAACTGCTTAAATCAGCATATTTTAGCTCAAAGTGAGATGAAAAGACAGCAGAGCTATTGAGGAAAGTGCTGACTTGACCATTTCCTAATACTTTGATCAATAGGATCTTTGTCTTTGGGCTTTCGAAGCAGAGGTTTTCAAAGTCTTCAAAATAAGTTTGTATAACTGGTAATATCTTATCATCGATATCTATTAATCTGCCTATAATTTGGTAACTAACCTACATGTTTATGTGTTTATGCATGAAGATATATATCAGCAACACCAAGCCTTGCTCCCAAATCTTAAAGCCATGTCTTTGAATATTTAATAATTAAGATTATGAACCATGGAAAAAAAAGAAAACAAACCATCTTCTCATGTATTTTCCAACCATGAATAGCTAATATAAAAAACAAGCTGCTTTTTTATACCAGCTCCAATTATCTGTTTAAGTCATTTAATGTATCCAGAGTATCTGTTGTCAATGTGTTGAAACTACAGTAAGACGAAGCCAGGATAGATACAATCCTCATGCATATTTCATCTACTTCATTCTGTGTTTCATCTCTCCGAGAGCTGGCTTCCCTCGAGGGCCAAACTTCCTGCTCTGTCGGTGTCAAAGTTCTTGTCTGATAAACAGTCAGTCAGAGCCACGTTGCACAAACTTAGGCTGCTTTCAGTCTGCCGAGCTGGCTGCATCCACTGAGTGGGCGGACTCCATAGAAACACTAGCACAGCATCCACGAGACCTACAGGAGAATACAAACACAGCCACTAAACCGAGCTCAGTGATTTTCCACAATGGAACATTATAATACCAGCGCCACTAACTTGCCTTACTGTCCAACCCAAAAGGAGTGTTCCTTTCTGCTCGTCTTTTCAGTCTGCGAGCAGCCTTCTGAATTGTGGTATGAGAGCTATTTGATGTGCCCTGTGGGTGTGTCCGTTTAACTTGTATGGCGACCAAAGGAGATTACAATGGGTCAGACATCTTTTAGATACCAAGCAAATATTTTAATGACAGCACTTGCCTCCCATGTGGACGTCATGCATGCACACTTGCTGGTCCTGTTTACGGGGCTGGAATGACTGAATCACTCCAAATCACCTGTTGTCTTTTGACAGACGGCATCTTAACAGGACATTCGTATTTGTAAAGCCATATCTCTGCTCCACCTCAAACATAGCAGAGATGACCCATTTACGAAAACAGAAGCATTCCTTGGAGCAAGTGAGTTGTGCCAGCGAGAGCGATGCTTGTCAAGTATGCGGCCCGTTTCCGGAACGTTCCTGAGCTAAAAACATACTGCCAAGGACTACCCTGCTTCAAGAGAAAAACACTGTATGCTAGTGGAAAGTAAATTCTATCTCCTGGGTAGGCTGTGGATATTATTCTAGGCACAAAGAAAAAGAAGAACATAAAATTGCTATTTATGGCACTGCTGTGGAGGCTGAAAGCCATCTGGGCCTTTGCAATGCAACAGTATATCGTGCAATATAGCAGATACCTGCAAATGAGAGTTTTGCCAGCAATAATAATGGTTTAACTTAGTGAATATCAGTGCTAAGTCTAACTATCCTAGATCAAACTCCTCCCGTGTCTTCTAAAAGCCTTTTGTACTGCAGTGCAGAACACGCCAGTCCGACTGTATGCAAACCAGACCTCGCCTCCTGAGGACAGATAACAACTCCTTCTTTTCAGAGGACACTGAGTGCCTCATTCTGTATGTGTGTGAAAAAGCAGGAAAGCCAGCTGACTGGTCAGACCAGGCAGTGAAAAGTATATCAGCCCAATTTTTGTGTTTTCCCAATTCGTAATGCTTAGGATTGTAAAGTCACTCAGAAAAATTGGCACCTCTGAGCAAAAAGGTGTTTGTTTTCTTATCCACATAAAGTACCTCCGTTGCAATTTCAGGTATATCTTTAATTATTGGTCAAACTTGAGTGGCTCAGGAAATGTACCTGATTTTACCTGATAGAGACTCTTGATCCCTCTGTAAAGATGCCCACAATCATTCCCATCACAGTGATAAAGGCATTATGGGGAGCAACTTTAACTGTTATTTATAAGTGGATGATCTGCACTTTCAACCAAATCCAGCCCGTAATGTTGACATGTTATTGTAGCATAAAACATACAGTTTAAACAGAAGGGATCAGTCGTCTGTGTCTGTAACTGCAAAGCTTGTAGTAGATTAACATTTCTTTCCAGTTATGTGAAAGGGTAACTCGTTTGGACAGTGTGGTTACAAATTTGAGACAAGGATTGATGTTTTAAGCATTACCCGGAGTCAGCAGGACATAACTATGGTGAAAGGCATGACTTTCCATAGAAAGCCATTTAGCTGTGAACAGAGAGTATCTGCCACATCACAAAGGACCACATCCCAGCTGTGCCCTCTTTTTACCATGCTCACCACACCTGGACAAGGTCACTCTAAATGCAATTACACAACCCCCACCCTAACACAATTCATACATCAGTTACAGAGAGTGGAAGAGGGACTTTATTTTCCACTCACCATCGATTAGCGGCATTGTTAGCTAATTTAACCCAGGGCAGCAGCCCTGAGAGTCTGGAGCTGCACTGAGAGGGGACCTTGTATTCCCTCTGGAACGTCACACATTCACACACTGAAATTCTTCCCATTGAGCAGAACAGTCAAGGAGATCACAAGATATCCCTTTCTGATAAACGAAAGAAGCATTTCACCGCTATGTAAAGTTCTCTCATATGCACTCTCCTCAGAAGCCCTGACAGGGACTGGTGAGATAAGTAGTCGAACTGTCCATGAGGAAAACTAAATATCATTTACTGCTCCAAGCATAAGAACATGTATGAGTAATTCTGCAGTCCCATCTGTTGGGTCTATTTACATTTGCAGACGGGGAAAAGACAGGATCCTCCTCATTAGAAGATGAGGAATTACCAACTGGATGTACCCACTTTCGTCTGCATTATAGACTAACTGCCCATCACCGCAGTAACATATGACCAGCATAACTTCAAACACAACGACAACATCTGTCCTGAATGCAGCTAAGAGGGCAAAATGTGGATTTTCGGCTATTTTTCCATCTTGGATGGTTAACCATAAGAAAAGCACATGCTGTAATTACCTACAAACAAAAGTAAATATTGACTGCATCATAAATAAGAGGTACAGTGTTCATATGCGAAATCTATTTTCTTCTTGCATGATCAAAAGCAGCAGAAGAAAGCAAAAGCTGTCATTTGCAGCACATTTGCCATTCTCCCAAAGGAGTCCAGCATGTCCAACTGGAAGTCTGGTCCCTTCCATAAAAACCAGACGACAGCATGAGCTCTGCAATTATAATATTTTACAGCTCAAATCCTTTTTTCAACATCAATGGCAGGTCTTACTGGGTTGCACGGCAAGCCATCACCAAAAAAAAAAGTTCATTATTCATGATGTCAAGACTTTAAAATTAGGCTCAAATGTTAGGTGGCAACTGAACAATTACATATCAGCTTAGTCAGGACGGTCTTTTATAGTGATGCATTTAAGGACCTATTAAGAATAAAGAAGCTGTGCAGTTTAACAAACAACTACAGTAAACATAACAATGCCTTTTTAGACTGCTTCAAAAAGAAGACATCTAATGAGGAGCAAATGGCTGACTGATCATGTGAAGAAAAGCAGCTTGAAGCACACCGAGGTGGTTCCAAATGCAACTTGGCACCAAAACTTGAAATTTACATCAAATCTAAGCAGCACAGCTAATTTGGTCAATTCATTAGTAACTTCATCTGCCAGCACATTCCCTTGTTTATATCAGGGAGGAGCCTTGTATAAGAAGCAGATGGCATTAAAAAAATCTTAAGCATACCATTAAAGAAGAAACGTAAGATTAAATCTTGGACGGATCTAAATTACTGTCATGAGTTGGATGAGATAAAATGATATATAGGTAACAGTTGCTGGGTGCAGCTGGAATTTGATCTTTATTGATGGAGATTTCTCAGCCATCATTGCAGTGTTATTTAACTATTATCCCAGCCGCTTCCAAGCAAATGAAACTAATCATTTTATGATGCTTTAATAAAAGTAATGGACTCTTTTACTATGTTACCAGGGGTGGAGATGTATTAAATACTATTTACCATACCAACATTGACATGGCTGTAAGAGAAATTCGTGAAATATTGGAAAACTATAGTTTGTTCTAGAAAAAAAATAATGTTTTTATTTAACAGCATTGTTAAGGGCCAATAATCTTGTTGGTTTTACAAGCCTCTTCACCTCAATTAAACTATGGATGAAAATATGGATTTATGACGCCATACAAACTGTAATTGATATCATATAAGAGATTACAGTCTGTTGCCCAACAGCCATTCGCGTTGGACATACAGCGTTCAGAGTGAAGATAGCATGTCCTTGTGCATTATTATAATATATGAGGAAAGATTTGCCAGGTTTTTAAAAAAATAACTTTGTTATTACATCAATAAAAGCAAGAAAAACGTTTATTACGCTGGTTTGTGGATACAAGCAAGCTGTCAACAGTCACTTTGGCGTTGGTGTCCGAGCTACTCGGACCGCTTATTCTTCAATGTCCACCGGCAAGTTTACATATTTCAACTAAAAAATATGACAAAAAATTCGAGGAAATACCGCAGGCAGAGTCATAAAGATGCATGGAGGTAATGGCTTCTTCTCACCTGCTCGGTAATGCGGTGCTGCTGTCGTCTGGTCAAGATGCTGCTGCCGCTTCTCGCGCGCCAGTCATTAAAGTGTGTGTCACCAACGGCCTGCACCGGAGCCGGTAGGTGGAGCGCGTGCTGAGAGTTTGGCGCAGTGCTCGAACAGACTTGTGGGAAATGTAGTCTTCCGCTTGACAACGGAAGCGGCACGAATACAACTTTTCAGGCCCTGCTGGCACACATTTGGAGATGGGGGTATTTAATGCAATATTCTATCCTTAAATAGCATATTTTATTTACTGCATGTTTTGCTAATTAAATAGATCCGTTCATTTGACCTGTTTTAATAAAGTTTTATTTAGAAAGTGCGGGAAAAAAATAGTTTTGTGTCGAATGTGTTGAGGTTTAATATTTTAATACGGTAGCAAATATGCTAAGTTGTGGTTGAAATTTGGCTTTCCGTGTGAACAGCTGTGTTTTTTTCAAACAAATATTTTTAACAACCTTACTTTCACGTCCGTCCTCAGACAAATCTGGCGAATCTGCTGCTGCTGCTGCTCGTACTTCCGGCTTCCGTCGACCTGGATCCGGGTGTCATTGACAAACATGGCGGCCTCCGCGAGCGCTGCGGACGCCTCTGCCTCCGAGCCCCTGGTCCCGGCCCCGGACGGCTCTGCCGGGGGCCAGCCTGGCGTTCAGTACAGCATGGTCCTGGAGCACCTCATCGGGGAGAAAAGGGCCGTGAGGGACCTGAACCCCACCGTCATGGGGGGGCTGCCGATGCCCCCCAAAAGCGACGAGCAGAAGATGATAGAGAGAGGAATGGAGAGCTGCGCCTTCAAGTCTCTGCTGGCCTGTGTGGGAGGTATCTATCTATCTATCTATCTATCTATCTATCTATCTATCTATCTATCTATCTATCTATCTATCTATCTATAGGGATTAAAAAAATGTCATGAGAAAAAGAAACAAACAAAAGCACTTTCTTGTTTATAATGAACACTCAGTTGACTTTTGTTCCTGAAGTCTTTAGATTTTTGGCCTATGTTGTTTATAATTGAGTCATTTTTTTTTTATTCCCACAGGCTTTGTCCTCGGAGGGGCTTTCGGTGTGTTCACAGCTGGGATTGATACCAACGTTGGCTTCGACCCCAAAGACCCCATGAGGACTCCAACAGCCAGAGAAGTCCTGAAAGACATGGGCCAGCGGGGGATGTCTTACGCTAAGAACTTCGCCATCGTGGGCGCCATGTTCTCCTGCACGGAGTGCATCATAGAATCAGTAGGTCCCACCAGCCCTCTGCGGGCCACACACACACACACACAATATGACGTTTGACCAGCTCACTAAGGGCACAAAAAGCCCTTCCGTTTGAACCCAGAGGGGTTTAGCAGGAATCAAATGATGATTCTACAAGCAGCAAATGGATTAAAACTGGAAAAATCTGGCAAAGAACCTCATCACAAGTTGATGAGGTTGTTTTTGTTTTCTATTTATGTTTTAAAGTGGGAAATAGTTTATATTTATATTTATATTTTTTCTTTTTATTTATCTTAGTCAGTGGCTCATCACAAAAAGAGAACAAATGAATACTGTGTCTCTTCTTCTCTAGAGGATGCTTGGTGATCATATGATGCTGCTGATGTCAGTTTTTAAAGGAGCTTGTGGGCCACGGTGGCTGTTCAGGTTCACTAAATAGCGTCAGTGATTCTCCTGTGGCTCCTTTAGCACCGTTTTCAGTGAAAAACAGCAGAAACTCCGTACTTCTTCCCTTAAACGCACAGTTATTTCTCCCGAGGTTGTTTTCGATGTGATTCGTTTGGATAGATATGAAGACAAACTGTTTCCCTTCTCTTTTCTCTTCCCCATCCTAAGTACAGATATTATACATCTTAAGTACAGACTCAGACATATGTGGGAAAGGCTTCATGTAAGTGTCCAGAGCGCCTCTTATTTGTTGAACCTTTGTGGTTTCGGTGCTGAGTGGAAGTGCAGTCCAATTCTGAAGGGTTTTTCTTTGGATTATTCCTTCAACAGTTGAGCTTTTCCAGGTTTTTTCCATGTGTTCCTGCCCTCCACAGAGTGGTGCTAAAGCGCCCTCTGGTGCTAAACTCTGTCTCACATTCCAACTAGTTATTTGCACAAAAAAGGTAACAGAATTGAATCAGTCCTCATCAGGGATCAAAGGGAAATCTTGCTTTGGCTCCTGAAACGTTTGTTGTGTTTTAATAATTTTTTCCTTCCCGTGTGCCACTCGCAGCACCGGGGCAAATCGGACTGGAAGAACGCTGTGTACAGTGGCTGTGTCACCGGGGGGGTCATCGGCTTTAGAGGTGTGTGACCGCCTTATTCTGCTGGGGGTTTTGGGGGGGCTCCATTTATCATCAGGCCTTCAGGTTTTTTTCTCTGTTTGTGTTTGGCAGCCGGTCTGAAAGCAGGAGTCCTGGGATGTGGGGGATTTGCAGCCTTCTCGGCCGCCATTGAATATTACCTGCGCTGACCCCACCCCCCCGAGGAGCTCCGAAAAGACAGGAAGTCACCTGGTGCGCGTGTGGACTCTCAGCGTGCAGAAAACAGAACTTATTGAGACTGGAGGAGACCACAGAGGACTAAAGGAGGCTCACCTCCCGACACTGAGAAGGCCGTCCCCGCCTCTACATCCACGGGGCAAGGACGATAAAAAAAATAGTTCAAAACAACCTCTTTCGCTCTGGCATGACTTGATCTGCTCAGAGAGAGAGCGGTCAGACTTCAGATCACTGATATGACGTGACAGGATCACAGGTTTATTTGTATTAAAGCTGTTTTTTTTTGTGAAACAGAGCATTTCATACAATCTTTTTTTTCATGTTGGGGCAGACACAGAGAAAGACTAGCTGGTGGAAACAGATCAGCAGTTAGCCGCCTAAGTGGTTGACTAGAGAAAGGGCTGAAAGAACAAAGTGAATTGATTTTAGATTGATACACCCAGACAGAAGCAGTGGGTAATACCAGCTGTGAGCTGGATTCAAAAGTTCCAAAAGTTTGTAATTCACTCAGTAGAATTGAAATGCTTCAAATGAAAAAGTACCACAATGTTTCCAGAAGGTGTTAAGACCATATTGATAAATAAAAAACGTCATTTTCTCCCTTTTCTCCCTGCTGTCAGAGCAGGTTTGCTGTTTCTGGACCCTCTGGATCTGCTGCTCTGAGTGATGTGAAGCAAAAGCTGCTGGTTCCTTAGGGTTTTTTATTCTTCCTATAATTCCAGATTTTATTTGTGCCCCCTTTAAAACAGGAGTAAATTGATGTGATGTAGCTCCAGCGAGTTCATTCGTACCAATGATACCGTTAATATTCAAAAGCAGTGTAATCGAGCCTGTATGACAACAAGCCATGAGCCATCTGTTAGTTGTTAGATGAAAATAAAGTGATTTCAAGTACGTAAAATGAATTCAGGACATGTCCCACTAACTAAATGTCGATTTATCCTGTTTGACCTCAATCCAAAGGTGGAAATTGTCATCCTTTCACTTTTCATACAGCCATGTAAAACGTTTCAAACACTATTAATTTTAAAATGTTTTACTGTCTAGCTTCTACAGATATTTGGGGGCTTAAATATTATTCTGTCTCTCCATCTTTACAGTGTCCTTAATTTATTGTGTGCAAAAACGAAAAGGAAGAATGATGCACACAATTAAGTGTCGTTTTGAGCAGTGTTTCAAACTGACCAGCAGGGGGAGCAATGTGCACAGACGTGAGGCTCCAAGGGTTTAAAATGCCTCAGTAGGATCTATCTGCATCTTCTGGAAACATAAATAGAAGGTTATTGTGCTTTTAAAAGCTGAATTAAAATAATGGACTATGAATTTGTATTATTGAACCATATTTTAGAATTTCTTTTGTATTGATTCCTTCAGAAAGTTACTTAAGGGGAATTTAAAATCTCTAAACAGTCAACAGCACAACACAGAAGAAATAGAAAAAGACAAATAATGGCGTGATAAAGAGGAGCTGGATAGAAATGAGGGGAAAGTGTTTATTCTGTTAATCCACAAATCTTATTCTATAACTTGCTCATTTTCAGAAGGCCCAGGAAAAGTGAGATCTCAAATCTTAAAGCTCACACGGACACAAAATGAGTGTTTTGATACATTTTATTTTACAAAAAAAACAAAACAAAAAAAAAGGGGGGAAAAGTTCACATTGACATTTAGTCTCGGTATTACAGTATATTGAAGTTCTTCTCAAAGGAAGTAAAATACAACAGTTTTTATTTAATTCTTATATTAAAAATATCAAATAGTACTCATCTAGCAGTGCTTGCAGTTAATTACGATATGTTGCAGGCTTGATAGCAGAAAGGTTGGCTTTGTACAGAGCAGACTTGGTCAGCTTTTCTTTTTTTTTGTTGCCTGTAATAGAGAGGGGCCTTGCAGAAGCGACCTACCTTTGTGTTACCCGGCCGGATTTTATTGACAAGCTGAACATGCAATGAGGGCAACTACCTAAATCCTCCTAAAGATAACACCGGTGCAGAAGAGACTTGGAACAGGCTTGCAATGCGACAACAAGAAGAAAGAAAAAGGAAGCTTAACTGTTCCGCTCTCCCCCCCCCCCATCCCCCCCCACACTGCCCCTCATGTCACAGAGTGCCTACAAAGTGATCTGAAATTAAATGGCAGACTTTCTGGTGATCTTTTAAGCACAGCTTACCAACCATGGACACGTTGAATAATAAAAAAAAAATAATTAAAAAACGTGGCTTAAAAAAAAAAAAAAAACATCACTACCTGAATAAACTTAAAAAAACGGACTCCTTAGAGCATTTCTCTAGTTGCACAAAACTGTACAGGCACACATATTATATATATTTCAAATAAATAGGGCTAATTTGGCCAAGACTCAGTGGGAGGGGGACTGTCCTTTCTGGTTTGGTCAGTACAGAGTCCCCATCCCTGCCTTTTTTTTTTCCGGACAGCTTCCCAGCCACCTATACAGTTCTTTTAGTCCCTTTAACACACACATACACACAAACACACACACACACACACACACAGTCTTCTACAGCCACATAGTCACTCACACACTCCCGCCTCCTCCACCACACGCACGCACAAAAGCCAGAAAGACACAAAAAAAAAAGAGGAAAGAAAACATCAACAGCCGATGAACATCATTATAAAACATGTAAATGCCGATTTTTTTTTTTTTTAATTTCTCTTTTTTTTTCTGGAATGCCTCTGATCGGGAACAAAAAAAACAAAACACAAGAAGCTGGAGTTGACTGGTTCTGGAGCTCATCGAACCAGCGGGTGACCGGGCTCCAGCGGGTCTGGGGGGAGATCCTGAGGCCCCCCTCCATGCCCCCCCCCACCGCGGGGGACACATCACAAACCCCGTGTGCATCAGGACTTTAAGGTGACCGGGAAATATCCTTTGCGGCCCCCCCC